TGACAACCAGCGAAAACAACCACGATACCGTAAGCATAAAATATTGAAAATAATGCTTCAGGTTTTTGTGAAATAGACATACACATTTAAATGAGGTAAATCTACTGTAAAATAACGTATATTTTTTCAAGTATTGCTTTAGCTATATTAGAAATAAATATCAAACGGCAATCTTTACACTGTCAATGTGTTGTTAAGCTTTAATGCATAATCCCATACGCATTACTTGTGTTTTTGACTGTTTGTGAACAGCTTGGTGCAACTGTCTTTCTTGAATAGATGGGTAAATCTTAGTAAAATGTCCAAAAGGAGTTAGAAAAGTTAGCTTACCCTACGACTTAAGTCGACTGGAAATATATTATTAGTAGGTATGTAATTTTTGAGTTTTTTGGTAGGATTGATTCTGGGTGTCTTATAAAGTATTATGATATTCTGATAAATCTACTGAGAACTTATGAGGAAAATATCTTGAACTAGGAGAGCAAAAGAACGAAATTCAGAAATTCTAATCATGTTGCTGGTTCTGTTTTGAGCCAAGATATTAGAAACTGGATTGTTATTGACAACCATGGATCTACTACTGAACAGAACTACATTAATTTCCCATTGAAAATACTATTTCTTAAATCAAAGTGCATTGGTTTCTCTGACATAACACTTTTCTTATTGCTGCATGAAGGCAAACTTGTTTAAATAATTATAATGTAGGTGAAGATATTTAGCATAATAACAATTATACAGACATTATTTATAATATTATGGCCTTGTGTAATGTATGTCAAGAACTTATTAATTCTCAAAAATGCTAACCTTCTTGCACTACTTTTCTTTTGTGTCCTTACAAATTACAGTTACCTATACTAATTTTTTCTAGGTTCAAACAACTTGACAAATTTTTGAATTTTACATTATGCCTTTGAATTTTTCTTTTCGTCTTTTGGTAAAAATATCAGTGAATGACTTAAAATCAAGTTTATCTAAAATAGTATTTTGTACAAAGTAACTATACATAATTGAAAAGTCTCATGTTGAAGGCATGTGGCTTCTTTTACTAGATTGCTACTCTTATTCTTTTAAATGATATCGTAATTCTTCAAAGACATAAAAGTTCTTTGCCATCAATTTTGCTTCTTCCACATTCAACTTCATTGCAACCAATGCATCTTATGTGAATTTTAATCACCTGGAATTGAAAACGTATGGATTTTGTCAGATGATGCAGTACTGTATTTAATGTTTCATGCATGTCATGATAAGCTTTTCTTGAGCAAATATTTCAAGGTAGGAGCAAAATTTGGCACATTGAACAAAGTAGTTTTATCTTGATTTTGATGTACTAACCTGTTTACTACACTGTGTAACAAACAATTCATTTACAGAAACACCAGATGGCATTTATAAAACTTTTAGCATAAAGCAAACCTTTACACACCATCATCATGATTGTCCAAATTGTCCAGGCTAGCTGTTTAATACAGGTATTTTTATTGTACGACATGTACCAAAGAGCTCATTAATTAATCCTGCACTGCATTTGATTTCAATACAGCTCTGTCCTTAATATTTGCTTCATATTTTCAGAAAAATATCATGAAAAATCCTCCATTTCAACTCAGTTGAAACAAGGAGTTTTAAGATATGCATATCTCGATAAGAACTGGTTGCTTTGCCTCGTCTAGCAATCGATTAAGTAAAGAACAAATAAGACTGGATAAACATAACTTAAATTATAACTTAGGAGTAAAACATTCACAAAATATATGCCATCACACTTCAAGTATTGACTTAAAACAAAACACTGAACACTTTAAATAGTAAACAATCTTACGTTGCTTACCGGTGTCATGAAATGTTTCCTTTTCTGGCATTACTTCAGCATCCGTATACCAAACAAGTTTGCAGCATGTTTTAAGATAAAATTTCTAAAGTTTTGTGCTTGGCATTGATATTTTATATAATCGCAATTGTGGTTGTCAAATCCGGGTGGGCGAAAAAAATTTCATTTTATGAGCCCGCGCCTTTCCGCTGACTTTGACAACCAAAATCCGCCATGTTTTTGACCACGCGGCCGCGCGCTGATAATTTATAGTAATTTAGTTGACGTTTCCCCTCCAGGTCTTATAGAACTCAATGGTTGTTTCTCATTTGTTGACCAGAAAATAGTCGTATGTCACTCGTATGTACTCGTATGTTACTCGTATGTACTTGTATGTTACTCCAACCCAGGCTCTTCCTTAAATTAACTCTATACGCTAATTGTGAAAATACCATTGAGTTCTATAATAACTGGAGGGGAAACGTCAACAAAATTAGTATAAATTATTAGCGCGCGGCCGCGTGGTCAAAAACATGGCGGTAATGGCGGATTTTGGTGGTCAAAACTTCCACTTTAAACATTTTTTTTAATATTCACTCCCTCCTGATTTCTAATACTGTTTGTATGAACGAAAACAAGTGAGAAAAAAAACAATTACGATACCGACAGCATATCATGTGAAAATAATGCTTCAGCATTGCGTGAAAAACACAGTACAGACACTTAAAAATAAAGAAAATCGACGGTAGAAACGCATATTTTGGATGTAACATTTAAGTTATTTTATGACATTTTAACCTTTAAAAGTGAAAATCAAACGGCATTCTTTAGTAGACCTGTCAATCTTGTCAAACTTATACATTATTTCATGCTTCTGTGTGTTTACTGTTTCTAAACAGTTTGGTGCAACTATTTTCTTGCTCAAATGGATAAATCTGTGTAAAAATGCTCCAAAGGAAGCGAGAAAATGTTTGCTTCAGTCCTACGACATAAGTCAACTGAAAATTTACCATGGATAAGTATCATAAGTGTATTGTCATTACCTGATAAATCTACTGAAAACTCATAAAGAAAGTATGTTGAACTAGTAGAGCTACAAAAAAAATAAATTCAAAACACCATGACACTGTTGCTTGGTAATTTGTATTTTGTAAACAGCTTGGCAGAATCTTGGATCTATTACTGAACAGAACTACATTAATTTTCCATTGAAATTACAAACTTGGAAACTAAAGTGCATTGGTTTCTCTGACAAAACACTGTCTATTGCTGCATGAAGGCAAAATAGTTATTTGACAGTGTAGGTGAAAAATTTATCAAGTTCTATAGATATTATTGTGCATTACTTACAGTTTTTGGAATTGTGTAATATATGTCATGAACAAGATATAATTTTCAAAATGCTAACCCCTTCGAGCACTACTACTCTTCTGTTTTGCTTAAACAACTTACAGCTACCAATACTAATTATTTATATGTACAAACTAACATTTGGGAATTAAATGATAAACAACTTGTTAAATCTTTGTATTTTACATCAAGCCTTTGAATTAGTTCCTTTTATCTCTTGGTAAAAAATATTAATGAAAGACTTACAAATCAAGTTTCTCGAAAATAGTATTTTGTACAAAGAAACTAAATAATTGGAAAGGTCACATGTTGAAGACAGACTTTGCTTCTTTGACTAGGTTGCTTGACCATGAGCAAATTTAAATTTGTTTACAATTTGTTTAAAGAATTCTTTTTATTGATTTCTACTAATTCTTCATAAGACACAAAGAATTTCTTTGCCATCTATTTTTGCTTCTTCTACATTCAACTTCATTGTAACCAATGCATCGATGTGAATTTGTGGATCACCTGGAATCATACCAAGTATGGATTTGATGAGATGAGACAATAATATGTTTAATTTCATGCATATTAATGATATAATCATAAGCTACTGTTGAACAAAAATTTCAAGGTAGAAACAAATCTTAGCACATTGTTCAACACACTACTTTCATCTTGGTTTTGAAGTAGTAACCTGTTTACTATAACAATAAATACTTCATTTACAGAAACGCTAAGTAGTACTTTAAAATTGTTTGCATAAATCCAACTTTCCAATCTCACATTATAATTGTCTACACTATACAGTCAGTCAAATTGAGCAGGCAAACAGTTTAATAGTTATTTTATTATACAACATATACCATAGTTCTCATTAATTTTGCATGGCACTGCATTCAATTTCAACACAACTCTGTTGTAAACTTTCCCTTCATCTTTCAAAAAACATGAACAAATTATGCCCCATTTTGGGAGATAAACTCAATTCAAATCAGGAGAGTTTAGCTTGATGCCTTGATCATGATACAAGATGGATGCAAAACTCGATAAAAATTGACAGCTTCGCCACGTCTGGCGAGCGATTAACTGAAGAACAAACAAGACTGGACCAAAATAACTTTAAATTAAAACTTAGTAGTAGAAACAAGCTTCAAGTATCGTGTTAAAAACAAAATAGTAAAACTAATACTGTGCTACTTACCGGAGTCAAGAAATGTTCCCTTTTCTGTCGTTATTTCAGCATCCGCAAACCACAAAAGTTGGCAGTTTAATAAATAAAGTTTTAAAAAAGTGTTTATGTTAGGAAAATAAATAGTTTTGATATTTTCTATACTCGCAATCGTGGTGGTCAAATCAGGGTGGGCGACAAAAATTTCATTTCATGAGCCCGCGTCTCTCCGCTGACTTTGACCACCAAAATCCGCCATGTTTTTGACCACGAGGCCCAGGCCCCTTTGCCCCTCCAGGTCTTATAGAGCTCAATGGAAAATACCCTCAAATTGACTCTATAAGTCAATTTGAAACGTCCGTTCAAACAATAGGCCTGGTGACATGAGTGGCTCCTTTGCCAGTTGCCGAAATGAAAAAACCAAAAAACTTAGCGCGCGCCATTTTGTTTTGTTATTGGAGCGAAGATATTTTACAGTACCATGTATCAGTATTTTTATGAAATATTAAACACATCGGGGTTTCACCTCTTATTTATGCAATCACACATGTCTCATAAACGCCGTAAGCTGAGTAAACCAACGATTGATGAGCAGCTGCTGTCTGCAATAAGCAATGTCAATGCTATTACAAATCAAGGTGTTCGAAGTAGAAGTAAAACTATTGAAGAAGAAATGCCAGTAGAGATATAGTTCTTCAAAGAAACGAAGATGGCGAACGAATTATTCATAAGCCGAGGCAAAGCACTTCGAGCAATAGAAATACACAAAGAGGTGTGTGCTGGGAAATAATACTTTTATCAAAGAAATAGAAGCATTTTAGATTTTTTATCCATTTTATTCCATTCCATTCCATTCCAAAAGGGTTATTGATAATACTTCTTTATCTCAACTTTACATAACAGAAGCAAAACTTTAGTGCTGTCAGGCCACTGCATCTATACATAGTTTTTATATTTTTATACATGTGACTGTGCTTTTAACACTTCAATGTACTCTTTTATAATTGTGTCATATTTTAGAAAAAAATAGAAAAGGAAACAGCTTTATGTCATAAAATCATTTCATTTTCATTTTAGATCTTGAAGCCATTCTTGAAAGCTGTCAGTTGGTTATTGGAGAAGTGGATACTGGGCCATCTGCTTGGCAAAAGAATGGAAAATCGAAGAAAATTGGGAAAGTATGAGGAAAAAATATTCAATGTAACTGTGTCATCATTTGCTCCTCCTTTATCTGCTATGAAGTGTTGTAGATGCAATGAAAATGAAGCTGTACTGAGATGCAGACAATGTGGTGTGTTGAGATATATTTGTCAAGAATGCGATGATGTCCATAAGAATAATCCTCTCCATGATCGAGAAGTGTGGTTGGATGGTTATTTTCAATATATCAAGCCAACACAATCCATTTCATCTGATGGAAAGATTTGCAGCATTGGTAAGTATAATGTACATACTTATGAATTTTATTTAAATATTTGGTTTTTTGTTGTGCCCGATGTGAGAAATGTTTTCTGTGATGATGCTGTTATCTTTGTAGATCGATCATGTCCCATCCTTTACCCATCATCATGTCAGTTGTGTAATGAATCTATCATCAAAACTACCAACAGCTCTCTTGTGATTATGATCAATGTGAAGGTGAAAATGTCCTTATGCAATTTTTTTACAGAGTCCAAATAACAATTTTTGATATATGGATGTACATATGATGCATCTTATTAAAATCAGATTTGTTAGGGGCTCATTATCTTAGTCACATTTAGAAAAGTACATAGGCAGCAGGTTGGATTATACACTAATTCATAGACTTTAGATTGAAACTAAAACTTCAAATCATTGATGAAGTTGCTGGCTTCTTATGAAACCCCAGGATTTGATTTCTTTGAAGTGCATATTTTCAGCACTGTACTGGTTATTTTGATTATATTTTGTCTTCAACAGGATGATTTGATCTTAATTGGTTCACTGTACATTGCTCATCTTGTCAATGGAAGTGGTCACCAATTTCTGTTGACAGTATAATTGAGAGTGGCTGGTGGCCTGGTAGCCCTGAAAATTTTCATTACATATTTAGTCAAGATGTCTTTAATTTGTGGGATGCATTTAGAAAGAGGATGCCTGGGTCATCACAATCTGCTTTTGTAAGAAGTTTGGAAGATATTTCCAGCTCTAGAGGAAGGGTGATTATTTTTTATGCTATCTACATATCTTTGTTAGTGTGCTTTTTACTTTGTGTATATTTTTTGTCTTGCAAACCAAAAGCTACAAGACGTAAATCTTGATTTCAAAATAATCCTTTATGATCATTTCTTTCTGTGAATTTTGGTAAATTCTGGGAAGTCAAGGAAAATTTGTTTAAAATTTGTAACAAGCACATGTCAATTTTTGTAGGCTTCATATAATGTGTATGTTTGAAGTATGAGAACTATATTATAGTACAGGGGGGTTTTGCATAATCAACAAATAGTATATAATTGTGCTATGTTTTGATTTGGAACTGGTTTCACTAGGAAATTGTTATCAATCATTTGCTGAATGGAGCTATTGCCAACATGAAATTGACCTTCTTCATGAGCAGACATGGAAAAATTGCCCTCCTTGTAGTATTGATCAACATTCATGTCATGTTGATGGAAATCAAAAAGTGTACAGATTCAGCAAAGTACCAAGGTTTGTGATATTGGATGGCGAATTCTCAAACTTGCAAAAATGGAACTACCCTTTGTAAACAATTCAGATACTTTTATGTTTTAATAAATTGAACCAATTTTAACAAATCCAAGAAAAATACCTACTGCTCATGTTTGATTCTTTACCTGCATTGTTGGGTTTATGAGTGCTTGTGTTCTAAATTGATAACTTACACCACAGGGTCCAGTCCAGTGTTATTATCGTGATGTATTGATTGCAAACAATAGTTTTGTGGACTCTCATTTAAAAGTCTTGGTTCAAAGTCAATTCAGGTAATGTGTTATGAAGTAGGATTGAAAGGTAGTAATCTATTATTAGGTTAAAGCATTTTTTATAGAATGAAGATAATTCTTGTGGTGACACCCATTGGAAAGCTCGAAAATGGTCTCCAAATCAAAGAAAAACCAAGACGAGACTGGACTTGAAGTTGCTGGATGCAGGCACTCGATTGCTCAAGCTACTTTGAACATGTTCAGAGGAGAAATTTATGGCTATGCTCACTACTTGCATATGAATTTTTACAACCACATAAAGTTAAATATATGTGGGAAGATATTATATGCAAATATTGGCCTTGGGCTCTACGTGTTACATCGGAAGAAAATCAAAATGCGCTAAAAATATTGCACCAGCACTGTCTATAATGCATGGGAAATCACACAGTTGAAGTACGTTACATACGTAGTTATGATTGTTTACCCAATAACTCGTAAGCTAAATACCACATACGCCGACGATAATGCTCTATTAAAGATGTTATGAGACAAAGCGTGCTTTTCAAACTGTAATAATACTGTATTTCACGTAACTAAACCGTGGTTACATAAATCTGAAATGGGTTGTCTTGAATAGATGATTCTTTTCACACTTTTTAGGTTATTTGGAGCGGAAGATGGCAAAGTGGTGCGGCAGCAACTGCTGGCGAAGAAGTTGAGCAAATAAATTCGTATTTGTCAAGACTTGGCTCGACTACTAAAAATATGACGGCCTCCGGTGAGTATTATTTTCTTATCTGTATATCCACTCAGGTATTTTGGTCGATTAAGTCCACGAACTAATGTGCACATTAATGGTTGTACGTATTAAGGACGAGAAGAATGCATTACTGAACACCTTCTGAGTTGGAACAAGCGAAAATTTTAAACTTGGCAAAATCACTTGTTATTCGAATGAAAAAGGTTACACGTTGTATATATCTTCAGTTAATTGTCAAAATTATATAATATAATATGAAATGAATAATATGAAATGAATAATATGAAATGAATAATATGAAATAATATAATATAAAATATAATATAATATAATATAATATAATATATATAATATAAAATATAATATAATATAATATAAATATAATATAATATAATATATATATAATATGAAATGAATTTACAGTTCATAGTTGTGTATAGGTCTTGTTTGAACCCAATACGTTTACTGCGCCAATATGATTATTTTTCACTGTTTTTCATTATGTGTACTTGTATTTCGAAGACCGAAAGGAAACTTTCATCTGCCAGGGACGATTTTGTAAAGTTAAGAAGCGAACTTAATGTCCAGGATTCAGACTTGGACGACTCGATAATGCAGTGGAAAGAAGAAGTTCAACAATTTGCGAGAGGTATACCTCTGTTATAACATTGTTTACTTTCAAATATGTTTGGAAACATGGTTTAGTATTGAACAGTTCTGTACTTATGGTTGATTTTGTTCAAACATCATTTAAAACGAAACTATATGAAATAATTCTTGGCCTGGCTCAAATTTTTATGTTTGGCAATTGTTATTTTTAACAATTCATTTTACCCCCGGAAAATATATAGCTATACAGTATTGTATGGAGTGCTTAGTAATTACGTAGATAAATTAATATTTTTTATTGTTTCTCTAGAACAACAAATTGAAGTTTCTTCGTTGAAAGGTGCCGCCGAAGAGTTCTTCCTTTGCATCAAACTGTTGAAAATGCTCAACATTTGGAGAATTTTGTAAGAGCCAACGATGATCAAACGCAGACATTGGGTGATAGGCTTTTCGTTCATGACGCTCAAAACAAAGTGAAACAACATGAACGAAATGCAACAAGATTGCTGGAATTGAAAAGACAGCTTTTAGATGGACATGTGACAGAGGAGCAGCTTCTTGAGCAAGGAAAGTCGCAGCTGGCAAAAATCACAGTAGCAAAGCTGCAGAAGAGATTAGAAATGTTGTATTTTTCAGTCACTAGACGCACAAAAGAAATAACTTCTCTTGCTGGTGAGTTTTGTTGGGGTTTTTTATGAGTAACTGTAAGCATTATTTTAAAGTTCGTAGCAAAATCTAAGTGAGTTAGATTTTAGATGTAGGCGACACAAAATGCAAAATATGGAACAGTTTTTATTCGAGATAAATTGTGCTTTATATAAAAGTAAACGGGTAAATACCATCTACACCATCCTCGTCGAAATATGGGCCACCTACACTTATTTTGTGCCGAATTATTTCAAAGCATTTTGCCAAATTACTGTAAAATTGCGATTTGTCGTTGTTACGTATATTATACATGTACGTACTGTAGATTCTAGCAAACGAAGATCTTCGATGAGAAGGAAATGCGCTAAAGAGAAGTCCGAAATAACATCCACCGTAGAAGAGTTAAATTGCCTCTCAAGTCTGTGTGGTCTTCCTACGACAAGTGCGGAAGAAGTCATGTCTGGAGATTTTGTTTGGTCGTTTAACCAGTGTAACATAGATAGTACGACTTCACATGGTGTGTAAAGAAAATCAAATATAGTTCTATGTATATTGTGACGTCCATGCTCGCTTTTAGTTTCAACTATTTTACTTAACAATATTTAGATATACCTGTGCGTTTCAAGGCACAAATTGTCGATAAGTACATGTTAGTTAAAAGATTGGAAGAGGAAAAAGCACTTCTGAACATGGAGATGAAAAATTATATGATTTATTATTTGGAAAACGTTTTGCCTCTCCTTTGTGAAAGAAAGAAGATTAAAGATAGAATAGGTATACAGATAAATGTTCGTATTATGTTAAAACAAGCTTAAAGGTTGCGTATTTATATACTGTGGAATGTAATGTACATGCGTTTAACATATTTTGCAATTATTTTTTTAGTATTTACAAATGTTGATGAATCTGATGACTATTCTTTCCTTGAGGTCAGATAAGTAGTGAATATGACACCAATCTTTTAAAATACGAGCATACTTATTGACATGATTACGTTTGTTTTATAGAGCTTTCTTCTAGATGAATATAAACATCGCTATTGTGTGCGAAAAGACACAATGAAGACTCTGCATGGTCGTCTCGCCATCACAAACTGCGGAATTGCATTTGCCAGAGTGCAGTTGAAAAGGTTTTCAATACTTTCACGACTTAGAACAGTCCATAGTCAACGTATACGGTAGTGACAGTGAATCAGACTGTAGCGATGAAGATGACGTTCATGAAGATGACGTTTATGAAGATGTTGAAGAAGATGCATGAACCAGTATACCAGTATGCCCTTTAGTGGCTGGTAGCCATTCATAGCTTTTGGTTATGTGCGAAATGAGCCCAATTAAATCAATCTATCACAGAGAATCAGAAATCTAAATATCAGGAAAAAGACAATTTGTGTTGCGAAAAGGGCATTTGTAGATCATAAATTGTTTAAAATAAACCGTTTACTAAACAACTTACAAATGCGTATCTTCTTAGATGTATATACTTGCAAATTGTATTTTACAAAAGAGCAACATGCAAATAATTTTCTATTATAAAAATTGCACACAAAATATGATAGCACAGCTTTCAGCAACAAATACTACGAATTATATGCATCTTCTTCTTCAACATCTTCATAACGTCATCTTCACGAACGTCATCTTCATCGCTACAGTCTGATTCACTGTCACTACCGTATTCGTTGACTATGGACTGTTCTAAGTCGTGATATTGAAAACCTTTTCAACTGCATCTGGCAAATGCATTTCCGCAGTTTGTGATGGC